TCTCAATGTTGAGCATCGTATTATAACTGTCTCTTATACACATCTCAATGTTGAGCATCGTATTATAACTGTCTCTTATACACATCTCAATGTTGAGCATCGTATTATAACTGTCTCTTATACACATCTCAATGTTGAGCATCGTATTATAACTGTCTCTTATACACATCTCAATGTTGAGCATCGTATTATAACTGTCTCTTATACACATCTCAATGTTGAGCATCGTATTATAACTGTCTCTTATACACATCTCAATGTTGAGCATCGTATTATAACTGTCTCTTATACACATCTCAATGTTGAGCATCGTATTATAACTGTCTCTTATACACATCTCAATGTTGAGCATCGTATTATAACTGTCTCTTATACACATCTCAATGTTGAGCATCGTATTATAACTGTCTCTTATACACATCTCAATGTTGAGCATCGTATTATAACTGTCTCTTATACACATCTCAATGTTGAGCATCGTATTATAACTGTCTCTTATACACATCTCAATGTTGAGCATCGTATTATAACTGTCTCTTATACACATCTCAATGTTGAGCATCGTATTATAACTGTCTCTTATACACATCTCAATGTTGAGCATCGTATTATAACTGTCTCTTATACACATCTAGATGTGTATAAGAGACAGGATATAGTCTATATTGAACATATACACATATTATTATACATATAACTCTATTATTATTTTATATATATGTATATTGCATATTAAGGAGATATTACAATATATAATGATAAAACGTTAAATGTGGACTATAATTTAGGAATATATCATATATAGTATTTAACTATGTATTACAAAATATTATGAAAGGATACATTTATAATATATTGTATACAACACATACAAAACTGTAAAATATTTAACAATAACAATTATTTAATACATGATCATAACTTGTCATATTACCCAATAATATCGTGTAATATAACATATTTAAATACATATGCTACATTATGAAGAACAAATTTTTGAACTAACAGGCTACTAAATGAAATATATTGCACATCAGAATACGTTCATTTATATCACACCAATATTAAATTGTGCATCGTGGCACAATACGCTGCGCGTACACCAGAAACAAATTCGTTCGTCGTGCCACTTTAGGAAAAATGATGGTCTAATTCTGTCTAATTTATTTCCTGTTCACGGCGGCGAGCGAATTAACGCCGAACGATTTCAAAATTAGTGTTATGTTTTTCCGCTCGGCGGCACGCATTAATTGACTCGTTCACGTCGCGTAGGGTGCACACACCCAACACACATTCCTCTCCCCCGCGTGTCACGTGTGTGCACACACGGGCGCGGGCTACCATTGCTGTATTGGTCGAAACTATCGATTGGCGACGCTAATAACTTTCCTGATGCGACCCGATGCTACTATCCCGTTTTTACTCCTTTTCCAGACATACTCGACGTCGTCGTCGTCGACGTCGCTTGTCTCTCGAATCAGTCTTCTTTTTTTTACTCGGCCACGATTCTCTCTTCTGCTTTCGCGAATCGCGTGTTCGCCCTACAGGTGCGAATTCTTCGACTTTCATACGTCGCACTGTCACATTGGCAGACCTTGAACCCTTCTGACACACGGCACGCATAGCAATTTTCGTGACACTCTGCTAATCCTACGGACAAATTCCTCCCCGTTCAGTTCCTTAAATCCTCGAACTACGATTTCGTTCGCAGCTGTGCTAGAGCACTTATTTGTTCTTAATCTTTTGAGAAATAAATAATTCTATATATTTATTCACAAATATTAGGAATAAATAAATAACTCTGTCTATTTATCATAAATATTAGGGATAAATAAATGATTATGTCTATTTATTATAAATGTTAGGAATAAATAAATGATTCCGTCTATTTATTCATAAATGTTAGGAATAGATGATTCCATATATTTATTCATAAATATTAAAGATATATAAATGATTCCATATATTTATTCATAAATATTAAGGATAAATAAATGATTCCGTCTATTTATTCATAAATATCAGGAATAAATAAATGATTCCACCTATTTATTATAAATTATTCTATCTATGACGAATAATGTGAATAATTGTTCTTCGAATAAAATATCCGACTGAAAAGTATTCATTCGGTTAATTATCTTAAGCAAACATTTATTCCAAAGAATTCGAAATAATTGGAAACAAGTCAAAAAAATTGGGAACAATTCGAAAGGATTCGAAGCAATTCGAAAAAATTCGAGATAATTTGAAGCAATCCGAAAGAAATCGGAGAAATTGAAAAGAATTCGAAGCAATTCGACACAATTCGAAACCATTCGGAATAATTCGAAGCAATTCGAAAGAATTTGAAAGTATTTGAAAAATTCGAGACAATTCGAAGCAATTCGAAAGAATTCGGAACAATTTGAAAGAATTCGGAACAATTCGAAACAATTCGAAGCAATTCGAAGTAATTCGAGATAATTTGAAGCAATCCGAAAGAAATCGGAGAAATTGAAAAGAATTCGAAGCAATTCGACACAATTCGAAACCATTCGGAATAATTCGAAGCAATTCGAAAGAATTTGAAAGTATTTGAAAAATTCGAGACAATTCGAAGCAATTCGAAAGAATTTGAAAGTATTTGAAAAATTCGAGACAATTCGAAGCAATTCGAAAGAATTTGAAAGTATTTGAAAAATTCGAGACAATTCGAAGCAATTCGAAAGAATTCGGAACAATTCGAAAAAATTTGGAACAATTCGAAAAGAATTCAGAACAGTTCGGAAGAATTCAGAACAATTCGAAAGAATTCGAAGCAATTCGAAACCATTCGGAAGAATTCGAACTAATTCGGAACAATTCGAAGCAATTTAAAACAATTGGAAACAATTCGAACAAAGCCCAACTCCGTTTCCCACGTCCAAGGCAACCATCAATTGCGAAACAGATTCCGCCATCGAACGAGTTCCAAGCGGTTTTTGGCGCGATATGGGTGTTTTGTGTGCGAGCCGTCGATTGAACCCGCATGCCTAGAATGGGCACGGGAAGATAAAGCCCGGGAAAAGTTCCTAGTATTATCATAATGCACGCGTTTCGACAGCCGGCGCGTTTCGAGGCCTTGTTTCCACGTTATTCCCGTCCCCGGTGGTCGAGTTACAATTTATTTGGCTCGTGCCGACGTGGTACGAGAAATTCGATAATTCCAAGTCGATTAATTAAAGCAGTCTAATGATCCCATGGCAGACAATTGTGCCACTTAATTGATAAAGTGGGGCACAGTTCTCGAAAATTGCCAGTAATGGCTTTTAACAGAAATAAATAAGTATTAAGAATAGCTTTCTTCGTTTAACACGTTAACTTGTGTATACTTTGTTTAATGTTAACGTAAATAACAGTCAATTTTGCATCATAAATAAATTGACTGTGAAAAATATCTCGAATATTAACGCAAGCCCAATTTTTATACAATTCGTAAGAATTGTCTTTATCATGTTTATTACATTATTATATTATTACATTATAGACTAACAATTCAAAGAAATTTAATCGCTAATTAGAATAAGCGAGTAACAACAATATTTCAATCGTCGATCGCGATTGGCGATTAAAACAAATTTAATTGTTAGTTGCAATAAACAATTGAAGTAGAAACATAATCATTAATCGTTGATTGAATGTTTGCCGAACAATTAATGTGTAAAAGAAAAAAAATGAAAACTTTCTACGAAATCGATGCACCATGAAAAAATCCGCAAGTCGTTCGTGCTTCGAATCGCGCTGAACCATTTTAATGTTTAATGTATATTCGTTTTTCGAGATTTCGAGATTGCATTTCTTTTTTAATAATCAGACGCGACTGTGGCGGGGCTAAGAGATTTTGTTCGCCGATTAAAACGTGCTTTCGTATCGATGCGTCACGCGAGAGCGGTGCAGTATGGCAGTAGTGCAAGCAATCACTTGCATTGACGGAAGTGGACACGAGAGACAAAGGGAGCGGGCGGAGGGGGGTCGCGTGAGAGGAGAACGTGGCCGGTGACGTCACGTCCGGTTACTCGTCGACGTTCCACTCTCTTTTTCTCGCCGACGGGACGGTGCGACCGGTAGAAAGAAACGCGATCGCGCGCTGAATTTCTAATTGGCCGCGTTCTTTCACGTACTCCACCGTTTTCATTAGTTTTATTACCGGCTTTATCGCTTTCCTCTTTACCTATTTCGCTCGCTCGGACCCGACCACTCTAAATCGCTCGAAACACTGATTTTCATAATCATCTCCATTTTATCATGCGGAAACATCTCTGTTAGTTATAGTTTTACAGAGAAAGTGTCCGGAACGAAGTTGCATAGTTTCAAGGGCCCTGTAAAATGGTGAGAACGATTTCTCCCCAAGGTCGTTTATTTACGAGATTTCAAGATCATCGGTACTATCTTTACGGAGAACCATCATTTTCTGTGGTTATAATCGTAGAGCAAGAGAAGACGAGTCCAACGAGTACAATCACTATACCTTTTCGATTTTCTAATCTTCGGATACTCGTGTCTGAAAGATTGACTACTTGCACATTCAGACACAAGTATCTCGAGATTGAACGATCGAAACACTATGATCATTATACTTGTTCGACTCGTCTCTCGACGCTCTTCAAGAAAATCGAAACAGATATACAGGGTGTCCTTAATAAAGTCAGTCGCCGGTGACTGAAATAAAAAATTTAAAAAATGATATTCTTGTGTATCGATAAATTTTAAACAATTTGGCGATCATCAAAGAGTGTAGCTAAATATTATTTAGTACCAAAAAAACTTTTAACGAGTATTATCGAAACCTAGTATCCGCAGTACGAACAGCCTCGAGAGGATCTTTTCGTCCCCCATCATTTAAATTCGGTCTCGTCAAATTTCCTATAAAATTGAACGTCGACTCCGCTGCAACACGAACAATTCTACCGATCGCTGCCAGTCTTGCCCGATCGTATATCCTTGCGACAGCGTACACCGAACGAAAGTAGCGCACTTACCTATCTTACTGTTGGGACTGTAGGGATCGTAGCTGCTGGTGCTCATGGGGCTGGCGTAGCCGTTGCTGCTGGTCGGTTGCTGTTGCGTTTGCTGTTGGTGCGCCAGAGGGCTCGAGTGCGCGAGCGGCGGTTGCTGCTGTTGCTGTTGCTGCTGCGCGGGCGTCTCGGTGAGTTGTTGCTGAGGCGTGGTGTATACCACGTGCTGGCTCTGGAGCGGGCCGGACGGTGATCCGGGACTGTTGGTGGACAGCCAGTCGTCGGGTCGTTTCGTTTTATTGCTGCTGGCTATGCCGGCGAACAGTCTGGCCGCGGCGGTAACCGGTCCGAAGACCGACGACGGCATCGTCGATGTGCCGGCCAGGTGTTCCGGCGACTCGGCCTTGGCCAGCGTCAAGGACGCGGCTCCAGCCACCACGGATGCGATCGTGCCGTTGGTCGTGTCCATGCTGGAGTCGCTGGTGTCCATGCTGGACGTGGCTGGGTCCGCTGCGTCTAGCCTGGGAGTGGCTGCCAACACGACACCCCCGGTGTTAACCACTTCCGACGCCTCATCGTAACGCACCGCTACGTTCCCGCTCACTAAGCTCGCCACCGTGACGGCTCCTCTGCTAACCTCTGATCACCCTCTTCCTCTTAGCTCTCCCGCGTGCGCCCTGCCAGCTAACCAGAGCTTTTCTCGAAGCTTCGGCTAGCTATTACTCGGCTCCCCCCCGGCTCGAGCTTCTTCCAACAGCAACCAAGGTCGCGCCGCTTCAAGCTCAACGGCCCGCAGAGCCGCTCCAGCTCCTCCTGATCTGAGATTCGCAGCCAGAGATCACCGAGTGTCCTGGACCAGTTGCTCGCTCCACTCCCGGCCTCGTCTACCGCATCTTGACACCGCCTCGAACCTCCGCTTGCAGACGATTCTCTCTTCGCGATCCCCGGTCTCTCTCTCCTCTTACGACTTGAGGTATCTGGAAAACGAGATAGCGGTTGGTTCACGGGATATCTAGCTTGTTGATAGAGATTAGGCGGTTCAATGCACGATTTCAATGATCTTGATAAGCGCTATCGGCAGCGTCGCATCGATCTACACGGTGTCTAACAACTGCCGGTACGTCTAGCCGGATTCCTCATGCGATTTCGGGAAACTTTCTCCTTTGCGGGAACAGTCTCCGAGGCGCCGTTGACGAGTTATCAACGGAAAACGCGGACCAATCGGACGGCGAGCACGGCCGACGCTCCGCCCCCGCGGCCACTGCCGCGTCGAACTCGCTGCAGCAGGGGCGGCCCGCCGGCTGTACTCGATCTCCGATTGGTCCGTGTTTTTCGTTGATAACTCGTTAACGGAGCGTCGTAGGACATTTTCGCTAAGGAAAATGTTGCTTCAATCCATCACGGGAATTCGATCGTAATAATATCCTTAATAGAACGTGACAATTTTTATTTTCTGTACGTTGAAATTAATTTTTGTTCTTAGACCTGGATAACAAGAAAATCAAGTTCGATAGATTATGTAAATCTTGTTAACTTTAACTATTCATCCTGTTTTTCTAGGTCAGCCCTGCCCTTTAGAATCTCGCAGTACTCGACGAGATTTAATTCGATTGACCTGGTTTGAAATTCGTTAACCATGATAGCGATAAAATTGACACATTTGCAGCCAATGTTGACTAGATTTAAAACAAACTGTTCATCTAATTCCACTGACGATTCTCGGTCAACGTAAGTTAAGCTTTTCTTTCGTTATTACAAAAATGTACGTTTACTCGTATAGGGTATATATAGGGTGTTTATTTTATCACACACATTGAAATATCTCCGTTATCTTTGCTGATACAAAAATATGTGTCAGGGAAACTTTGTTTAGCTCAAAGCAAAGAATATTATGATTCGTGTTTCTTCTCCCCCAAGGTAATTTCTTTTTCAAGTACAGAAGATCATCGCTATTTTTCGCACATTAATCCCTATTTTTTAGAGGTCGCCTAAAGGTCACAGTGTCAGGGGTCGCCGAATTCGTCTTGATTCGTCTTCATCAAAAAAATAACACGAATCGTAATATTCTTAGCTCTGAATTAAGCGAAGTTGCGCTGACACAGTTTCTATATCCGCGAAAACAACGGGGACACCTTGTAGATCTCCCTGATTGCTGGGAATAAAAAACGACGAGCGATGGCTCTCGGTGGTTTCGATTGTCTTTTGGAATGGTTTTTTCGTGGAATTTCTATGCACCGAGAGGACAGAAAACGAGACGAAACTGCGGGTCGACGCGCCGCGGCGGCACGCAATTTCCGTCCGCCTGGAGAAATCTCGAGTAATGACACGCTTCAACGGTCGGCCGTACAGCAACGACACCGATGAAACGGGAGTTAACCGGGATCGAAACTTTCGGTCGGCAGAAACACGCGCTAATAAAAGTTCCTACGTTCCTACGTTCCACGCGGATTTGAAGATCGAGGCGCTGTTTGCGACCGCAGAAACGATATACCGTCGTTCCACCGTTAATTCGCTTCGATCGCGAACGTCGTATTTCGACTTCTACGTAATTTCCTGACTTTTTCTTCGTCGATCTGTACCGGTCCGGGTCGATTGCAAAGAATTATTTATAAATAGAGGCTTCGGGTGAAAACCGGACCGAGGATCTTTATTCTTTATGCGAGATAAAAATGATTACGTTTACAGCAGGAGCTGAATGCAATTTTGTTTATTCCTTAAGCGATTCGTTCTCTCTCTCTCTCTCTCTCTCTCTCTGACGTGTTATGTCGTGACGCCGATACCGTTTGTATATCGTCATAAACGAGATACTGTAAATTCTCCCTAATTGACGCACGGATTGTCCTCCCTTAACACTTTATCGTCCGGTCGTGGTTGAGGCTGCCACTCAGTAAGGACTGGCTTAGTCGCGCGCACATTTGCTCCCAGTACCGGCTAAATTTTGTGCTTATTCCTTTAAAAATAATAATAAATAATAATAATTATTATAATTATAATTCATAAGGATATGGGGAGGTCAGCATACAGGAGGTCAGCTACTAACAAAACAGTAAAGAAGCGAAAACCGTCGATAGCTAAAAGTCGATTAATAGGCTATCGGTCGATAAGCATTGGCAATCGAAAAGCCGATTAATAGGCTAGCGATCGATAAACATTGGCAATCGAAAAGCCGATAAATAGGCTAGCGGTCGATAAAGTGTTAATTGACCTCGGATTTGGGAAGAGGAGATACGATTATTCGAGCCTTGCGACTCGTTTTTATAGTCGTTGACAATCGGTAACTATTCAACTCACTCAACTGGACTCAAATTGCCCATTTTTGTGCGCAATCTCAGTGTCAATTAGAGAGAATTTACTGTATCTCGCGACGTAATGCCGCTTCTGTGATGCCACGGACGCGTTATCCCGCGACGCAATACCGTTCGCGCGGCGTCACGGACGAGTAAACACGCGTGCTTCGTTATTAGATTGAGAGAGCAGTAATCCGAAAAAGTTTGGTTCCATTAGAGCGCAACATAGAAGCAAGCTGAATCGACGCAGACGGGGCAAAAAGAGGAGCACGTGTTTACTCGTCCGCGGAACCGCACGAACGGTATTGCGTCGCGGGATAACACGTCCGTGGCATCGCACAAGCGGCATTACGTCGCGAGATATCTCGTCTCTGTGACCTTACACGTACAGTATCGGTGTCGCAGTAGCATAACACGTTCATGGCAGCGAAGCGGTTAAATAATTTCAATCGGTGAAATCAATAGTGAATCGGTGAAATTTTTGCCATAAAAGCCTGAAAGCCGCTGTTTTGCTGAAAATTTAGGTTGTTTACTACGAAATTATTTCATGACTTGTTATGAGTTTTTACGAATTTTAAGGTACGTTTATGAATTTTTATGGTTTGAAAAATTTTTACGAGTTTTGAATGGTTTTTATAAAATTTTTAACGAATTTTTATGCATCGTCATAATTTTTGATGCATTTTTATGCGTTGTCATAATTTTTGTTGAATTTTTATGAATTTCGATAAATTTTCATGATCTGATTTTCGATAAATTTTAAAGCGTGTCAATGAGTTTTGAAAATATTCATGATTTTTTATCACTTTTGATGAATTTTCAAGAATTTTAATGAAGTTTCAATATCTTTGATGAATTTTGATGAATTCTGATGAATTCTGATGANAATTCTAATGATTTGTAATGAATTTTCAAGAATTTTGATAAATTCCAATGGACTTTAATGAATTTTCAAGAATTTTGATAAATTTTAATGAATTTGAATGAATTTTCAAAAATTTTGATAAATTTTAATGGATTTTAATAAATTTTCAAGAACTGTGATAAATTCTAATGATTTGTAATGAATTTTCAAGAATTTTGATAAATTCCAATGGACTTTAATGAATTTTCAAGAATTTTGATAAATTTTAATGAATTTGAATGAATTTTCAAAAATTTTGATAAATTTTAATGGATTTTAATAAATTTTCAAGAACTGTGATAAATTCTAATGATTTGTAATGAATTTTCAAGAATTTTGATAAATTCCAATGGACTTTAATGAATTTTCAAGAATTTTGATAAATTTTAATGAATTTGAATGAATTTTCAAAAATTTTGATAAATTTTAATGGATTTTAATAAATTTTCAAGAACTGTGATAAATTCTAATGATTTGTAATGAATTTTCAAGAATTTTGATAAATTCCAATGGACTTTAATGAATTTTCAAGAACTGTTTAACGAAGTCTAACATATTGAAATAAAATCTAACGAATTTTAGTAAACCGTGATAAATCTTGATGTGAATTTTCACGCCAACGTATTTTATTTTCAGCGGATTTCCCGTCCCACCGTCGTCGGATCTAAACTGCGGGAGCCAAGTATGGTCGCGTAGGTTAAAGAGTCCGTCCGACACGATTCCCCGGACCTACTCAACGTGCAAATTAAGTAGTTGAGAAAGTACCGGCTCGCAACTAGGTAGAAGTGACGTTTCAAAGAGAAGCCGGCTGAAACAATGCAATTGCAAATTGATAGGATGCTCGGCTATTGTAGGACGCGTTTTTATCGGCGACAGCCAGTGAAAGTGGCTGTTAGTTACGTAAAAGATGGGCGCCAATTCACTCGTCGTTTGTCAAACGAGGCTAAGAGCGACGGACGAAAGTAGCAACGCATTTCTCCGGATTTGGCCGTTGCCATGTTGACATCATTTCTGTTGGTTCAGCGCTTCGTATGTATGTAAATATATTATAGAAACTTATAGCAACCTTGTGGCCAAAGGGTGACCAAAGGGTGACCAAAGGGTGGCTAGCAAGCGAAAATGTCTTCGATGTGTAGGACCACACTTTTTACAATTTTTCGCTCACAGAAACGTAGCGGAATACTTTGAGACACTAGAAACCTCTTAGTATACTATATGATATACTATACTACATGATCACTAAAATGGTCATCAAAATGGTTAACTAAATGGTCAATTAAGTAGTCGGTTAAATGATCGACTAATTTGTTTAAATGTCTTATATTATAATCGCCTGAATGGTTACCTAAATCGTCAACTACATGGTCAACTAAATAGTCACCTAAATGGTCATCTAAATGGTCGCCTAAATAGTCGTCCAAATAGTCGCCTAAATAGTCGCCTAAATAGTCGCCAAAATGGTCGCTTAAATAGTCACCTAAGGCTTGAGAATTATAGCGATATAGTCGCCTAAATAGTCGCCAAAATAGTCGTCTAAATAGTCGCCTAAATAGTCGCCAAAATAGTCGCTTAAATAGTCGCTTAAATAGTCACCTAAGGCTTGAAAATTATAGCGATATAGTCGCCTAAATAGTCGCTTAAATAGTCGCCTAAATAGTCGCCTAAATAGTCACCTAAATAGTCGTCTAAATAGTCGCCAAAATAGTCGCTTAAATAGTGACCTAAAGCTTGAGAATTATAGCGATTCTCAAACTTTGCAAATTGTATTCTAGAAAAAGAAATGA